ACAAAGTAGTTTCGCTTTCACAACGAAACACACAGCGCCTTCACGACATGCAACAATACTACAGCGAGAATAAAAGTTACGCCTTCTTTCTTTGCGTGAACATTTGGGTGGTGTTATGCAAATCTTCCCACATCGTGACTTAGACATGTGGGGGCGTGTTAGAACGAGCCATTTTAGGTAGGCGTGGTTGACTCTTAACTTTTATAAAGAATATCTCTTTGGATTTGAGACTTTAGTCTTTGCAACTTTACAGATCTTCTTTATGCACCAAGAGCTTGTAACACTCCAAAGAGAAAGGAAAAATTTAAAATCGCATCATATAACCCCTTTAAAGTCGGCATAACATGAAAATTCATCTTATCTATTTTCTAAATGCATGTTATAGATCTTATTGTGAAAATTAATCCATGCATACATTTCACTTTTCAAAAAATGGACTTTGTAATGTTTAATCAAAATGAATCTTTCGGTGAAAATGACTTTTCTCTGGTGACATATACAGGACTTCACCAATCATATACAGTAGTATAATTAAACCCCAAGCTCTTCTGCCCCCAGTGTTGAGGCCAATGCCCACAACTCAAAATCCAATCAATAACCAATGGACAGAACCAAGTCTTGCCTTATATTTTTTGGTTTTTCAAAAATCCACTAAACTTGGATGTACGCCACAATACAGAAGAAAAGATCTGTCGCTACTTCCAATTGATCACGATTTTAAATAAACAAGCTTAAAAAGTTGTAGTTAGTGGTTAAACTCCCCCATAGATGTAAAAATACTGTAGCATTGACTTTCTGCTCATTAAGACTCTCAAAAAACAGAGTCAATGATCAGTGGCCCCCGCCATCACTGTTCTGGATACCCTTGTAGTCCCCTCCCCCTCTATACCGCTTTTAGCCTTTCTAAATGGCTATATTTACCCTCCAGACTGATCATGCTTGAGCTCTTGTTCTGGCACACACACATAAAGTGCACAAGTGACGATATAGGAACAAAGACAAGTCAGGCAATCAAATGTGGTTTTGGCTCCAGTCACAATAACTCTAGAATCTGTAAAAGTATGAATTCACTTTAAAATGATACAAGAAATAGTCTGGCACAAGTGAGTAAGAGTTTGTGGATGTCAATGATGGGAGATTTGTGGATACTCACACATGGACGAGTGCTGCCTTGTATGAACAATAAAAAGATTTTAAAAAATGTAAGGCATAGTGTGACAAGCATTCTGAAGAGAAGGAGCTTAATAACATTAAAGTGCACAAGTGACGATATAGGAACAAAGACAAGTCAGGCAATCAAATGTGGTTTTGGCTCCAGTCACAATAATGCTAGAATCTGTAAAAGTATGAATTCACTTTAAAATGATACAAGAAATAGTCTGGCACAAGTGAGTAAGAGTTTGTGGATGTCAATGATGGGAGATTTGTGGATACTCACACATGGACGAGTGCTGCGTTGTATGAACAATAAAAAGATTAAAAAAATGTAAGGCATAGTGTGACAAGCATTCTGAAGAGAAGGAGCTTAATAACATTACTAAGGATATAAGCTGTGGTAGCCGTCAGGTTGCTATAGTAATAAATGTTTGTAAATGTGATGCACTACAAGCTCGAATTGCACAGCAACAAAACACACACACACACACACACACGCACACACACACGCGCGCGCGAAGGATATAAGCTGTGGTAGCCGTCAGGTTGCTATAGTAATAAATGTGATGCACTACAAGCTCGAATTGCACAGCAACAAAACACACACATATGCACACACACACACACACACACACACACACACACACATTTCTTTATCCCTTTTCCATTACCTTCTGTGGAAAACCAATTCTATGTATATTCATTGTAAAGGCATTCTTGGTGAAAATAAAAAGAACAAATTTATATTAAAATGTGTCAAAATAAAGCACAAAAGTGATTGGATATATAAAAATGCAAGGAAATGAAAAACAAAGATAAAGCAGCAACACAGAGAAAAACCATGCTATAAAATCCCAATCAAAAGGAAAAGTAATTTCTTTGCAATCACATATCATGCAACTCTCTAACTCTTTCTGTCATAAGGATCGAGTCAGTATTTTATATTCAGGCAACAAGTAGCTCTGTGGTGCTGAAAAGAAATAGTTGACCCAAATATGACAAATCTGTCATTTACTCATGATTTTCCTTCATGGAACACAAAAGGAGATGTTTAGCAGAGTGTTCACACTGTTCTTTTCCATAAAATGGAAGCACACAGTGACCAAAAGCCTTTGTATCAACCTACAAAATGGCAATAAAGCACCATTTATCATCATACTATACATGTCATGAGACAGAGTTTCAGCAAAATATTATCGATAAATAATGACATTTTGGTCCACACAGAGACTTGAAATAATGCCTGTTCACACCAAGAAAAATAACTATAACGAGAATATAAAATAATTTCTTCATGCCTTAAATATAACTCTACCCTTGCCTTATTTAGTATATGCGAATCCAAGAATTCGCACCAGTTTGGACTACCTGTTCCACTTTCTTGGTTAACTGTAGTAGTAAATGCTACACAATGGCAAGTGGATTAATTCAGCCATATACTGTATGTCTGAATCAGAAACTGATTCCAAAGAAGAGGAGGAAGAACGAATTATACAGGGTCGTATAGAATTTAATGTATCAGAATGTATCACGCTCTACAACGTCGGACACGTAACAGTAATTGATATCATTAGCCTTTGGTTTGACAACATTACCAAACAGTTAATAATGTGTCACTAATGTTACACAAACCACGTTCCTGTTGCCATCTTAAGACAGCTATCTTCTAAAAATCTACATCCTTAGGTAGAAACGCTTTGAGAATGATATAAAAAGCCCCACCCTGAAAGTTGTTGGGATTGGTTCGTGTTAGTACCAAAAAAGCGGTTTGAAACGGCCAGTTTCCTACGATCTTTGGCACACTATGGTTTTAAGGAGAAAATGCTCAGAAATGGCGTTGACTGATGAATTTGCACATGGTTTGTCTTTAAGCATATTAAAAACACCTGATAGGCATGTAAACAACATTAAAAACTTGATTTTCATCACAGGGGGTCTTAAAACACTTGAGCTTCTGATTGTCTGTCAATGTGTTTATGAGCTAGAAAAAATTGTTCTGAAAGTGATTCCAATGATATCATTCCTCTGTGTTGTTATTGTTATAGTGATGTGGACTTTCTTGTTCTCACAGACATAGAATAAAACTTCACAGATATCGCTATAGTTATTGTTCTTGGTGTGAAAGGGCCTATATAGAGCACAGGTCATATAGACTACTCTTTTTTGATACCTTTAATGGTGCTTTTTGTCATTTTTGAAGCTTGTCTGTCCCTAGTCACCTTTTATTTTTAATTATATGAACAATCTGCTAAACTTTTCCTTATGTGTTTCACTAAAAATCATCATGAGCAAACGTTAACAATTCTCATTTGTGAGTGGACTACTCCTTTTAAATCTACAGTGATTAAAGTGAGTGATGACTACAGAAAAAAATGGGTAGTTGGATATGCACTGCTACAACAACAAAACCTCCAATCCATCACAAGTTTATGCCTGGAATTCACAGAACAGTGATCAGTGACTTCCCGCAATGTGGAAACTAATCAGCACTGCACTCTCTGCTGGTAGCTACTGCTATTGCACCATGGTGAGGTAACCGCCACATGTCTCAGAGACAGAGCACACTGCTCACTCATAACCCCTCCTGATGTTCAGCACGCTTATAGCGAATGGATGTTTAAAACTAAAGCTCAATCTACTTCTATCTCTGAAATATATTCACTTCAGGGCCATTAAATAAAGCACCATAAATATAGATAGATAGAAATGGGAGATAAGAACAACTTCTGTGAAGATATTCATCTGCAAATATGGTTATTATTCAGAGCACCTTTTTAGAAGAGTGCTTTGTTGATAAAGGCTGATTTACTTCTTAACTGAAGGCAAAGCTCAAGTGAATGCAAACATCAATCAGGTTGCAACTACAGTATAGTAGCACATCCGGACCAAACAAATAACCCTTTCTGTACAAGGCAAAAATAAAAAGTTATGGTAAAAAGAATCTGTAATCACAAAGAAAACGATAAATATTCAAAACTTCAGCTCCAGGACACGTGCCGGAAGCCACTGCGGTTGAGGCCTGGCTCAGTCCGGCTCTATATATATATAAAATATACACATAGAGAGAAACAAAATTATTATCTTATATACACACAATATGAATTAAATTGTAATATTTGAATATGACTGTTTTTACTGTATTTTTGATCAAATAAATGCAGTCTTGGTGAGCATGTGAGACTTTTCAATAACATTAAAATAATCTTAATCATTCCAGAATGTAAATATAATAAAACAAATCATTGTTTAGGATAATACAAGTTCCTGTGTACCATTTATGCCTTTTCCTTATTATTGTTATTTTATTAACCTTTTTTTTTTCTTTAAATGAAATGTCAAGTGAAGACCTGTAGACATAGTAATTACACAAAGCCGAGTGTATTAACATATAACAAAAAGCTTAAAAATGACCAAAAAACAAGCACTTTGTGAAAACAATACAAGAAAATCTATCCATGTTTACATGAGATTTTGAAATGATAAATCCTGTCAAAAATGTTACAAAGCTGACAGAACAACTGATGCAGGCATTTACATGCAAATATCTACAGTGATCAATAAATTAACTGTGCTTTGATTACAGTCAATATGAAAACGCATTCAAAACTCATTTTAATCCAGTAACGGGATATTTTTCTGAATGAAGCGGGATATTAAAAATATAGGTCATGACTTAATTTTATTCCATGGGAATTGACTGGATTGTGAAAAGTCAGACCTCAATATTTTGTATTCTGTGTAATACCAATCCCCAGTTTTTATTTGTAATAAAGTACGCTTATGAATCATTTACACAATAAGAAACCCAGAAACATTTATTAAGATAAATACAAGTATTACAAATATTAAGTAAATACAATCCATTCATAGCCTTTTCCAAAAACAACACAAAAAACATTTAGGACATTTTTACATGAACTTACCCGTTATCAGCTTATCATAGGCACTGTAGAATCATGTATGTAAACACACTGCTGTATTCACAACACTTACCTATGGTGGCATTGGCAGCCATGTTGTACCCGTAGTCAAAACTGACAAAGGTCAGATAAGACACATGAGATGTGAAGGCCAGAATGAGCAGAACTCCCACCATACTGGAAATTGCAGGCCTACGCAAGCCCAACGTCCTGAAACACAAATATCAATCCTCAAATCAACATCATAAACTAAAGCAATAAGCCCCAAGAAGCCGGGGTTTACAGTGAATTTATAACAGCTAAGGGGCGTTGTTAGAAAACCCCTAAAACCCCCTTAGCTGTTTTAAAATCACTGTAAACTACGGCTTCATGGGGATTATTGCTTTTATAAAACGGTTATTCCATATACGTAGTAAGGTTTCACAGAATAAAACAGAGCAAAAATGATATAAATAAAAACAGTATTCTTCCACCAAACAATGTAGTTCCTCAGAAACAGTTGTGGTTCCAACAAAGTGGGTGCCGAGCAACACACAGAAGTAAACAAAGGTGTATGTTTGTAGTGTAATTTACAACAGCTTCGAACGCGGCTCAACCAATCAGAATCAAGTACTATCCGTTTTATAAAAAAAGATTAGCAAGCATTGTATATTGTTAATCAGCCATTTATTTCCTGTTCACTCACCTTACACAGCACAAGTAGATAGAGTAAAGAATGACAGCTGATGCACAGAAGTAGTCCATCTTCTATAAAACAAAGACAGAAAATCTCTACCAACACTATTTTTTGCCATGCCAGGCATTACTCTTAATCCAAGAACATAAGAAAATGTTTAGAATTTGTCTCTGAATCATCTCTTGAAGGGTTACCTCTGTTAGATAGGTGTCTCTCGTGTGGAACACTGTAGACCAGAACCATGCATTCAGGGAAACCTGCAGAGAGAGAGACGTTTACAGCAAGGTCCAATTCCACTTAAAATATGTTGGTGTGGTTTTCGTAAATAATGAAATTAACTGTAAAATAAGTATCATGAATTGAATGTCTCAGTATTTGGTTTGTACACTTTTACTTTAAAGGGGTCATATGATGCGATTTCAAGTTTTCCTTTCTCTTTGGAGTGTTACAAGCTGATTGTGCATAGATAAGATCCCTGAAGTTGCAAAGACTAAAGTCTCAAAACCAAAGAGATATTCTTTATCAAAGTTAAGACTCTGCCACGCTCCCCTAAAACGGCTCGTTCTAACACGCCCCCACATATCTACCTCACTATGTGGAAATATTTGCATAATGCCGCCCAAATGTGCACGCAAAGAAAGAAGGCGTGGTTTCAGTAACCGCAGTTAGTGTTGAAGCAGCATGTCAGGGAGACGCTGTGTGTTTCAGTGCGAAAGCAAAAGCACTTTATTTGGGCTTCCGGAAGTAGATGCATTTAGGAATCTTTAAGATTACTTACAACAGAACAGCAATGCATTTTATGGACGACCGTTTCGTGAACCTAGGAGAGGAGGTCATTCTGACTTTGCTATGACAATCTGGCGCTTCTGAATCAGCTACTGTTTTGTTATTAGTTTAAGTATTTGCTATTGACTGTTCAAATGAGGAGTTTTGCACATCATGTGTGCGTGCGTGCGCGCGTGTGTGTGAGAGACAGAGAGAGAGGGAGAGAGACCAGCTTCATCATTGTGTCTGTCACGTGACTCTGTTCCCCTTTCGGGCTCTGTCTTTACATTTATTTTGAAAGATGAAGCTCGCGATTATGGTAAGGGGCGTTACATTTCCGACAAGTGCTTGCGGTGTTCGGCCAATCACAATGCACTGGGTCAGCTGGCCAATCAGAGCAGACTGCGCTTGTCGGAAGGAGGGACTTTGTAGAAAACGAAGCGTTTGAGAGAGGCGGGGCATAGAGGACCTACAATAATGAACAGTATTTGAAAAATAATGTGTTTTTTTTTTTACATTAAAGCATGTCAACATATTCTGTTACACCAAATACACAAAATAATGATCTTTAAAAAAAGCATCATATATGACCCCTTTAATGACAACAGCACTGGAGATGCCATGAACAAAACTGATGATCATGTGATCCAGCATGATTTCAGAATGTTCCAAAGAGTATGTGACCATCTAAACAACATGATCAGTGTCAATAATTTGATTGGTGACCTAGAAATAGTGAAAATTCCTAATAATCTTTACTTACTTATTGAAAATTAAAGTAATGCAATAAAATGACTGTTTAAAATTTGATTTGATTTTGATTTTTAATCATACCTAACATCAAATATGAGTTATGCCTCTCTTTTTTTTTTCATTTGACATTGCTGTTATCTTGCATTGGTATAAAGCCTCCATGAGCTTTCATGCTTGGGGTTGCCAGATGTCAAGAGTTTAAATGCCCCAGTCAGAGATTTTCTCTTAATCAATCCCAACCTGGCAACCATGCACACATGCTCCCTCTAGTCTGCACTGCAAAAAAAAGTGCTGATGACCTCAAAACACTGAAAAAATGTGGAGTTTAGCGATCTTAATGCACTATTCTGCTCATGTTAAATGTAATAAGGCCAGTTAATATTCTTTCATGAGGCCAAGCAAACCTTCTCAGTGACGAACTGTTATAAATCTAAATAGGGATCTTAACTATATTGTTTGCAATTGTGGTTGCTGAATAACTGTACTTATGCAACTTTTAAACTACATCACAAACTACAATAAATTAAACTACATTTATTGTGTTTTTTATTTTATTTTTTATTTGGAATAATTTGGAATTATTGGAATTAATATTAGCAGACAGACACTGTCTCACCAGTGAGAAGGCGGTGATGGTGTGGTACATGGGGCTTTGTCGAGGGACGGCGCTGCGGTATCTCAGCAGCATCAGCAGACATGCCAGACCGTTGAGCAGAGATGCCAGCGCAGATGCAGGCTCCTCAAAACACAGGAAACGAGCAAAAGGCCACTAGACACAGTTAGAAATAGGAAAAAAAAGATGTAGAATCAGGGTTGAAAATACATACATTTCCATAGTGATGACCATTAAGATTTGTCCCCTTTCACACTGGTTGACAATTCTGACACTAACCTTCCCGTGAAACTGTGGTACGCTGTAGCCCTCTGCCTGGTACAGACCCACGGTGGTCCACATGCACTGATACCTGCAGTCATCACGACATGTCCAGCCTAAAAGATCACAGACTTCAAATGAGCGATTGCACAGGAAAGGCTGCAGGACAAAATTAATTGACATTGATAAAGTAAATTTGGCATTTCGTAGATCTACAACACTAACCAAATCTCACACAGAATTAGAACATAATTGACTGAATTTATGCAATTCATGCTCTTATAAAATCTTTTGATCTAAAGGTTTATGCATAAATTCAAGTTGTCTACTTACTCATTTCTTTACAAATGTAATTATTTCTTGTAAGATAGGATAGTGAAGGAAAAGCAGCCAACAGCATACATCACTGAATACTCTTTAAAAAGCATCCCAGGATGCACCTTTTAAAGTTGGTTTTAGAGAATCTCCAGTGAAAATGTCTCATCTTTACCTACATGTTCAAAAAAGCTAATCAAAATTAATTTTTGTCGTAATCAACGTTTTGCCACAAATGCTGTCAATTTAGCTTAACTTATATTGAAGCTATAGGGTTGCAAAAAGGTGGAAACATTCCAGAATTTTTGGAAACTTTCCAGAATTTGTTTGAAATATTCCAGGGATTTTTGAAAAGTTTTTTAAAATTAAATTAAATTTTAACCCTATTCATTATGTGGCATCCTTCCACTAGAACAATGATTGAGACATGAGACAAAACATGAAAATACACAATATTTAGTAATAAAAATGAAATAAATACAATATTTAGTAAACTTCATCCAAAGCTAACAGTGTTCAGCTAAACGTTTCACTGCCGAAAAGTAAAATTACTTTTTACTTTACTAAGTAAAGTGTACAAATGACTATTTTATGGTTTTGCAACACAATCATTAAAACAAAGTATGTACATCTGCACATGGCCAGGCTTTAAAAGCAACCCAATTTTAAGCAATATGTATTGGGGGTCCCTGCTCTGTCTCCCTATCCAGCAAAGGGTTCTTGGTCTAAAATAGCTACATTAAATGTTATAGTCTCTGACATAAGAGAACAGTGCTATGCAACGTAAAACACCATCCGCTATTGGAGTTGTGCAGTGACTCGGTGTACAGGTGATTGGAACGGTTACAAAATCATGGGATTTACCCATCCTGGACACAGCATTTTCAGAAGGGACAGAACTATTTGATTTATAATTTGTTTGTTTGTTTTCATAGTTTTAATAGTTGTTATTCTAAACTGTCTGTAAATATTACTACTACAGAGAATGAGTAGGTGTCTCCAAATGTTGAATAGTGTTGTATAAATAATGTATGTGATACATAATGTTTCCTCTCAAGCAGGTAGCCAGTGGTGGTTGGCTGGCCCTAGCTAGTTTAACCTGTCCCTGGTGTTTAGCTGGTTGACCAGCTTTTATCAAAGTCTGAAAAGTGCCCAAAACCCCTCTAAAAACCATCCAACCAGACAAGCCAAGCCAGATAAGACCCCTTTTTGTTTGTTTTGTTTCATAACTTTTTTTCAGTTGGGCTTGGGTTTTCGATTAGTGTTGTTTTAATTATTTTACAAAAAGTACTGCTGTGGTACCATGGTACAGTGATGGAATAAAATGATATATACCCTGACATATCAAGCGACTGCTGTATTCATATAACATTGTACTCCAGCCTGCTTTGAACAAAACCATGGAATGCATTACTATGGTACATGTCCAAAAAGTTGCGGCAATACCAAGATATTGATAGAAGTTAAAGAATAAGAACTTTAAGACCACTGTCCTGCTAAGAAGAAACAATACTGTTATAATGGCAATTGATATAGGCCCATGACATCATTTATTTTCTTTACTTTTTTTAAATTTTAGAACGTGTGCCAATCTATAAATAAAAATGTTCTATACAGGTCTGTTCAAGCTTTTGTCGTGATTTGCACATTTTAATAAATACTCATTTTAAAATGTCCATCGACTCCTGTTCATTTAAATCTGTCATTAAATAATTCAGTATTGCTAGTGCCCAAAACCCCTCTAAAAACCATCCAACCAGACAAGCCAAGCCAGATAAGACCCCTTTTTGTTTGTTTTGTTTCATAACTTTTTTTCAGTTGGGCTTGGGTTTTTGATTAGTGTTGTTTTAATTATTTTACAAAAAGTACTGCTGTGGTACCATGGTACAGTGATGGAATAAAATGATATATACCCTGACATATCAAGCGACTGCTGTATTCATATAACATTGTACTCCAGCCTGCTTTGAACAAAACCATGGAATGCATTACTATGGTACATGTCCAAAAAGTTGCGGCAATACCAAGATATTGATAGAAGTTAAAGAATAAGAACTTTAAGACCACTGTCCTGCTAAGAAGAAACAATACTGTTATAATGGCAATTGATACAGGCCCATGACATCATTTATTTTCTTTACTTTTTTTTTAAATTTTAGAACGTGTGTCAATCTATAAATAAAAATGTTCTATACAGGTCTGTTCAAGCTTTTGTCGTGATTTGCACATTTTAATAAATACTCATTTTAAAATGTCCATCAACTCCTGTTCATTTAAATCTGTCATTAAATAATTAAGTTTATAATAATTTAGGGGACCTCAAAAATGTCCCCACAAGGTCAAAATTTACTAGTATTACTATCCTTGTGAGGACATTTGGTCCCCATAACGTGATAAATACCAGGTGTACACACACACACACACAATTCTCTGACAAATAAATTAATGAATAAGCCAATTGGTAATTATTACGTTAATTTAAAAGGTCCAATCCTGTTTTTTTGTTGTTTTTTTTAAATGCAAAGCATGACTGTTTATATATTGAATATATAATGACTGTGAAAAAATATATATATACAGTACATATACACTTACGTTAAAATTATTATGCATGAGCTTCAGCTACCTACAGTTTGGCAGTGTTGGGTAAGTTACTCCAAAAATAAAGAAGTAATTAAATACAAGCTAGTAATTACATCTTCAACAGTTTAATTAGATTACGGTTCTAATTCAGTTACTTTCTAAATCCCACATCAGCCTCAGTTGAACAAAGCAAGGATAGACATGAAACTACTCATTTAAAGGGGTCATATGATGCGATTTCAATTTTTCCTTTCTCTTTGGAGTGTTACAAGCTCTTGGTGCATAAAGAAGATCTGTAAAGTTGCAAACACTAAAGTCTCAAATCCAAAGAGATATTCTTTATAAAAGTTAAGAGTCAGCCACGCCTACCTAAAACGGCTCGTTCTAACACGCCCCCACATGTCTACGTCACTGTGTGGGAAGATTTGCATAACACCACCCAAATGTTCACGCAAAGAAAGGCGGCGTAACTTTTATTCTCACTGTAGGTTTGTTGCTGCCGCCATGTCGTAAAGACGCTGTGTGTTTCGTTGTGAAAGCGAAACTACTTTGTTTGGTCTTCCAAAAGAGGATGATATCTGCTTCGTCATGCCTGGAGCTGATCCGTGCTGGTCACTGAGGAAATACTACAACTTTGCGCTGTGGATCGCCGGATCGGCTTTTAACCGTGGACAAAGCGGAGTCCAGCCTGGAGTCATCACATGTCCTTCCGGACGCTCCTTCGTCGAAATCGCCGGCCACGCCGTTCTCAAGCCCGTGCCTCTGCTCACTCAAACCCTCCCGCCGTTCCTCTCTAGCCGCGTCATCACAATATGGTAGGGGCGTAACATTTCCGTCACATGCTTGAGGTATTCGGCCAATCACAACGCACTGGATAGCTGGCCAATCACAGCACACCTCGCTTTTTCAGACCGATGAGCTTCGTAAAAATCGAAGTGTTTCAGAAAGGCGGGGCGGCATAGAGGAGAAACAATAATGTTTTTTGAACCTTAAACCACAAAAACACATTTCATTACACCAAATACACAAAATACTGTTCTTTTTAGCAGCATCATATGACCCCTTTAATTCTTTCAAATAAATAATATAAGATTGCATAAATTATTCTTGAACTGGCCAAAGTATTTAAAGGGAGAAGGTTAAAAACATACATTTTAACATTAGATGTTAAATCCACTATTGTTTTATATAGAACTGTTCTGCAGTCTAAACAGTATATACTGCAATTACATCAGAACTGATTGTAATTAAATTACAGAAAAATTCAGAGTAATCCCTTACTTTTTCAAGGGGACAGTAATTAAATTACATTAATTACTTAGTAAGGAATTATACCCAATACTGCTGGTTGATTGCACTTTATGATCTCAAATAAACTGAGGCTACATGGAATATTTGTATTTCAAACAGTCATTTGTCACACCGCAGGAGCATTTAAAATGAACTGAAGGCAAAAGGGTGTTTAAAATGCTGAGAAACAAAAGAAAATTTTCCCTGACAAAGTTGAAGAAAAAAAAGACATTTAAAAAATTGATAGCAATATTGTGTCTTCATAGCAAAACAATGTCCTTAAAGGGAATTTCTTAACATACGAGTTGTAATCTTTGATAACGTTATTTTCCCGGGAAAGGATCGTGGAGGGAAAGAACACCTCATTTTGAACAACCTAAAAAAAACAAATATGATATTTCTGTATTCTAAAATATTTCTAAACATTTTTTATGTGCTTAATGACACCAAATAAGTCCAGCATCAAAATGTGTGCAAATGTACTAGAACACTTATGTATTCAGTGCATACCAAAAAACTTGCAGACTATGCACAGTAATAGTGGCAATACACAAATTTCGAACATATCTTGTTTTTGCAGTCTTCACTAACAATGTATTATAATTTATAATTAAATGCAGATGAAGATACTCACACAAGATGAACAATGCTTTATTGAAAACTGTACTTGGCAACATTTTCATGAATCAAATGTTTTGACAGAAAACAGGGCTGGAAAAATTAAATATTTGACCATAGCAATGCCATCTATTCTTTAATATTTAAGTTTATTAATCTTGCTCCTCTGGGGCTGTAAATAATATTATAATTATAAAATAAATATTATTAACAATAGGATATTTTGACATTACCGTCTTCAATATCAGTCTCAAAGACAATCAGAATTTTAGATATCAAACCAACTCTCTCTGCTAAGATTTAGTTTCTTATTTTTCAACTATCTTGCGTTATATTAAACGTATCAAACATAAATATGAAGGCGTACAATGAGCTTTTTCAATTAGGATTCACGCTAATGAAGAAATGTACAAAATATAATACCATCATTCAAAATAAATCGCTATCTGTGATTACGAGTAACTTTTACAAAACAGGAACAGTCCTAAAATCTAATTCAAAAAGGTTCTATGATATAACCCATGATCTAAACTATGATATTTTGTGAAGTAAAATACAACTGTCACAGCAATTGAGATTCATCCTTTGGGGCCACTTGACAATCCACATTATTGCCAATAAATATGTAAATTTCACAACTCAAAATAATTAAAGGAACAGTTCACCCAAAAATGAAAATGTACTCACCCTCAGGCCATCCAAGACGTAGAGGAGTTTGTTTCTTCACAAAACGTTAATTGATGGACTGACGTTATTGTGGTTGTTGGGATTCTGACGGCACCCATTCACTGCAGAGGATCCATTAGTTAGTGATGGAATTTCTCCAAATCTGTTCTGATGAAGAAACAAACTCCTCTACATCTTGGATGGCCTGAGGGTGAGAAATTCATTTGTGATCATCTACAACACCACATTTATGCATAAACGCATTTGTGCAATTTCAGATTCCGGGGATCTGCATACCTCTTTCCGCATTTATCGCAGATGTACTGCTTCCCCCCTCCATGAACGTGGCGTTTGTGAGTACGCAGGTGACTACCTTGACTGAAACACTTGCCACAATACTCACAATTGTACGGCCTCTCACCAGTATGGACCCTCTGGTGCAACTTTAGACTGTTCGTATTGTTAAACCACTTATCGCAGTAATTGCAGCCAAAGGGTTTTTCTCCAGAGTGAGTGCGGCCGTGTGAAATGAGGCTACTCTGCTGACTAAAGCTCTTCCCACACTCCTTGCAGCTGAAAGGTTTTTCACCCGTGTGAATCCGTTTGTGGATTTTCAGATTTACAGCCTGCCTGAAGGTCTTGCCACATAGGTCACAACTAAAAGGCCGCTGGTCCGTGTGGATGCGCTCATGGTTTTTAAGATTGACGGCG